ACTTCACTGATTTCATCTCCTTGTCAAAAATCAATTGTCCATAGATAGATGGGTTGATTTCTGGGTTCTCAATTTTATTCCACTGATCTACATGTCTGTCATTGTACCAGTACCACACTATCTTGACCACCACAACAGTGCAGTAGGATTTGAAATCAGGGAGTGAGATGCCTCCCACCTTATTTCTCTTTTTAAGAGTGCTTTACTCATTCTGGCCTCTTTCCATTCAAATGAAATTGAAGATTGTCTTTTCCATCTTATTGAAGTATGAGATTTGTATTTGTATTGGGATTGCGTTTAATCTGTAAATTGCCTTTAGTAGTATTGCCATTTTGAGTCTTCCTATCCAAGAGAAAGGTACCTTCTACCATTTCTTCACGTCTCTTTTTGTTTCTTGTAGTAATATTTTCTAATTTTCTTTGAGTAGATCTTTAGTGTTTCTGGCTAGATGTACTCCCAAACATTTAATCTTGTGGTTATCTATTGTGATGACTGTTGTTTTTCTTAGCTCCAGTTCTGTATTCTCTTTGTCACTGTAGAGAAATCCAATTGATGCCACTTTGCTGAATTGGTCAACTATGTCCAGTAGTTTTCTTCTGAGTATACTATCATATCATCTGCATATTTTATCTCCTCTTTGCCAGTTTGGATACCTCTTAGTTCCTTGCCTTCTTGTTCTATTGCTATTACTAAGACTTCCAATACAGTATTAAATAGGAGAGTTGATAGTGGACATCCTTGCCTAGTTCCTGTACTGAAAGGGAATGGCTTTAATCTCTCTCCATGGAAAACGATGTTAGCTCTTGGGTTTGTGTATATACTTTTTACTATGTTGAGGATGTTTCTGTCTAATATTATTTTGTTGAGTGTTTTAATCAGGAAAGGGTGTTGTATTTTGTCAAAGGCCATTTCTGCATCAATTTATAAGATCATGTGGTGGTTGTTCTTTGCTTTGTTAATGTGATGAATTACATTGATTATTTTTGTTATATTGAACCATCCTTGCATACCTGTTATGAATCCCACTTAGTCATGGTGAATTATTGTTTTGATGGATTATTGGATTTTATTGGCCAGGATTTTATTCAGGTTTTTTGCATCTATATTCATAAAATATACTGGCCTATAGTTTTCTATTTTGGTGGTATCTTTACCTGGCTTTGGTATCAGATATGTTTGCTTCATAGAATGAGTCTGAGAGAATTTCATCTTTTTCTGTTTTCTGAAATAGTTTATATAGAATTAATTGGTGAAAGTTCTTCTCTGAATGTTTGATAAAATTCACTTGTAAAACCTTCTGGTCCACACTATTTTTTTGGCTAGGGGTTGTTTTATTACTTTTCAATTTCTTTTGTAATTGTCTGTTCAGGTGTTCAATTTTGGCTTGTGTCAGTTTAGGTAGGTTGTGATTTTCTAAGTATTTGTCCATTTTCCTCTAGGTTTTCATATTTGTTTGAGTATAATTTTTCATAATATTCCATTGTTAGCCTATTTATTTTAGTTGGTTCTATTGTCATGTTGCCCATTTCATCTTTTATTCAGATTGTCTTTTCCTTTGTTAGTTTTGCTCATAGTTTGATTTTATTGACCTTTTCAAAGAACCAACTCCTAGTTTTATTGATGTTTTCAGTTGTTTTTCTGTTTTCTATTTCATTTATTTTTGCCCTAATTTTTATAATTTCAGTTTTTATAGAGACTGATGTTCTCTTTCCATTTCTTGGAGATGTTGGGTTAGCGAGTCAATGGTCATTTTTTCCTGCCTTTTGATATGTTAGCTTATTACTATAAATTGATCTCTTATTACTGCTTTGGCTGTTTCCCAGAGGTTTTGGTAAGTGGTGTTTTCATTGTCATGTCTTTCAAGAAACTTTTCAATTTCAGTTTTTATTTCTTCTAGTACCCCCTCATGTTCAAGCAAGGTGTTGTTCAACTTCCAAATGTATGGTTTTTCTCCTTCATCCTCTTTTTATTCATTTCTAATTTTGTACCATTGTGGTCTGAGAAAATGCTCTGTATTATTTCTATGTTTTTTAATTTATTGATGCTTGCCTTGTGACCTAAAATGTGATCTATTCTGGAGAACATTTCATGCACGTTGGAAAAGAATGTATACTTTTTAGGGGGTGCATTGTTGTTGTTGTTCTTGTTGTTGTTGTTATGTGCCGTTGAGTCATTTGCGACTCATAGCGACCCTATGTACAACAGCCCTAAACCCTGCTCTATCCGGTGCCAGTCGCATTGCCTCTGACACACCCATCCTGATTACCCCAGTCACTGAATCAGCCCACCTCATAGAGGGTCTTTCCCTCCTGCACTGTCCCTCTACCCTACCAAGCATGATGTCCCTCTCCAAGGACCTGTCTTTCCTTACAACATGTCCAAAGTATGTCAGACGAAGCCCCAGAATCCTTGCCTCCAAGGAGCAGCCTGGTTTAACCCTCTCTAGGATGGATCTGTTTGTTTTCTTGGCAGTCCACGGTACATTCAATACTCTTCTCCAGCACCACAGCTCAAAGATATCAATTCTCCTTCTATCCTCTCTAGTCATTTGTCCAACTCTCTGATGCATAACAAGTGATTACAAAGACCATGGCCTGTATCAGGCGCACCTTAGTCTCCAGAGAGACACCGTTGCTCTTGAGAACTTTAGAGAGGTCCCTAACAGCAGACTTTCCTATGCAATACGCTTTTTGATTTCCTGACTGCTGGTGCCAAGAGTGTTGACTGTGGAGCCAAGCAAACTGAAGCTGTGAACAATCTCAATCTCTTCGCCATCCGTCCTGATGCTATCGATTGGTCCAGTGGTGAGAATCTTTGTCTTCTTGACATTGAGCCTCAGTCCATATTGAAGGCTGCAGTCCTTGACCCTCTGCAGTAAGCGCATGAGGTCCTCCTCAGTTATAAATATCTATGAGATCAAGTTGTTGATTTATTGTTTGGTTTAATTTTTCAGCATTTTTGTTGAGTTTCTTTCTGGTAGTTCTATCTTTTCTTGAGATGGGTATATTGATGTCTTCAACTACTATAGTAGTGTTGTCTGTTTCCTTTTTCAGTTTTGTTAATGTTTGTTTTATATATTTTACAGGTCTATCATTTGGTGCATAGATATTTATTATTGTTATGTCCTCTTTCTCTATTGAACTTTTAAGCATTATGTAGTGACCTTTTTTGTTCTTTGTGATGGTTTTCCCACTGAAATTTATTTTATTAGATATTAATATTGCTACTCCTGTTTTTTTCTGGTTGCCATTTGCTTGGTATATTTTTTCCCACCCTTTTATTTTTAGTCTTTATCTTCACTTTTCAGGTGTGTCTCTTGTAGACAGCATATTGGTGGATTTTGGTTTTTTTTCCAATCTGCTATTCTTTTCTCTTCAGTGGTGCATTTAAATCATTCACATTCAGTATGATTTTGGAGAGGCACAGTTTTATTGCTATCATTATGGTGAGTTCTTTTTGGTGCTGTTCCTAGTTACTTTGGTCCATCCTGCTTTCTGTGGCACCTCTGAAGAGGGATATCTCTCGTTGTTTCTTGCAGTGCTATACTTGTTTTTACAAATTCTCTTAGGTTCTGTTTTTTCTGGGAATATCTTAATCTCTCCTTCATATTTGATGGACAGTTTCACTGGGTACAATATTCTTGGTTGACAGTTGTGTTCTTTGAATGTTCAATACATGTCATTCCACTGTCTTCTTGCTCGCATGGTTTCTGCTGAAAACCAGCACTTAGTCTTACCTGCTCTCCCTTACAGGTTTCTGTGTTTCTCCCTTGCTGCTTTCAGAATTCTCTCCTTATCTGTGGTTCTGGCAAATTTGACTATGATATGCCTTGGTGTTTTTCTTTTGGAGTCTATTCTATATGGTGTTTGCTCAGCTTCTTGAATATGTATTCTCTCATTCTTCATTATGCCTGGGAAGTTTTTTTCTAATAATTCTTCCACAACTTTTTCTGTGCCTTTGCTTGCTTCCTCCTGTTCTGGTATTCCATTGATGTGCATGTTATTTCTCTTGATGGTGTCCCACATTATTCTTAAGTTTTCTTCTTTTTCCTTCCTTTCTGATTCTGCTTTTTGCTCTAGCAGATCAGTGGTGACAATTCTGTCTTCTATTTCACTGGTTTTGTGTTCCATTTCTTCAACTCTGTTCATGTGTCTCTCCATCATGTTGACAGCTTCTAAAATATTGGACCTAATATTTTGGATCACGATTTTTGTTTTTCTAGAGTCTCTAGTGCCTTGTTTGTTTTATCTGCATTGTTTTGGACTTTTTTTTAAGCTCCTCCTGTTTTTAGCTTGCACTTTCCTGTAATTCTTCAAGTTTGTCTTTCACACATAAAAATTATTCAGTCATTGTTCTTTTAAATTCTGTGTCCGAAAGTTCCATCACACTTTCTGGCTTCAGGAGATCCAATGATACTGTGTCACTTTTTGAGGGTGATATCTTGTTTTGCACTTGTGTAGGTTTCGAGGTAGCCTGCTTCCTACGTGATATTGCTGTGGCAGAGTTTTTCATGCCTGAGGAGATGATGGGTTCTTGATCTGAAGTCACTGAGTAGAGGTGGACGGAGTGTAGAGGTGGGGTGGAAAAGCATAGCATGGAGGCAGGCTGGCGGGTGCAGAGGGGGGCGATGGGCACAGAGGTGGACAGTGGGTGCAGAGGGGATAGTGAGTGAAGAAGTGGTTTGCAGGTGGCAGGCACAGGGGCATGGGGCAGGCACAGAATCCGGAACTGAGCGTGGAAGCGGGCTGCAGGTGCAGAGGCCAACATTGAGTGTGGAAGCTGTTGGCCAGGACAGAGGCAGGCTCCAGGTTACGGGTACCAGACTTGGGCACAGGTGCCAGGTGTGGGATCTAGTTCTGGACATGGGTGCTAGAGGTGCCTGGCACACATGCATACGCACACACAATCTCTCTCTGATTGAGCCTGTGCAGGCAACTTACTCAAATTTGAATGGCTGTCATTTTTTATTTTTCATCTGTTTGTGAAATACATTTCAATAGGTGTTTCTTATGGACAAAGCAACAGTGATATTGAAGCCCTCCATCAGGCTTACCATCATGTTGCCCATTCTTTGGGAGACACTGATGAACACATTTTTGAGAGGAATGCAGTAGAAAATGCCATGGGCACAGTGCAAGATCGTCCTCAAGATAGTGGTGACGAGTCTTCTAAAAATGTTTCTACAACTGAATCCGGTAAAAGTTTAGTAATAAATGTTTATATTTGTTCATTATTTGAAACATTTCATAAACCTTTTCTGTTATTGTCTAATTTAAATACAGTTTGCTGTGATAAGCCTCTCAGTCTCTGGACTTATTTCCTTTATAAGTAGGCCTTGTTAGGTTACAAAATCATAGACTTTCATATTTTTATTTTTCATGTCATTGCATCGTATTTTTACATAGATAGCATACAGATTTTGTTTTTTGCAATCCATACAATCTGCTGTACTATTTTCATAAGTTTGCTATGCCACCTACTTTGTGTAGACGTGTTATTTTGAATTTTTTAAAAAAACCCAAAAGAAGCAGTGTCTTTTTAGAAATAGAGAATAGTATTTTGAGTTTAGCTATATGTATAGTTTTCGAAAAAAGTGCATATATCCATAGATGTGTTTGTATATACATGTGGGGTAATGTCTTATGTTGTACATTTATGACTATTTAACACATTTACCAAATAAAATAATTTCTGTGGTATAAACACATTTATAGTAGGGAACATGTTTATTGTACATGCAGGTTTGCTTACCTTTGTTTAGGAGTCACTTAAAACTACTTATTTTAAGTACTTTACACATTTTTGCTGCTACTTTAACTTTTTTGTCCTCTTAGATCTGCCCACTGTGGAAGAGCTGATGAAACCTATCAGAATCAATTCCTTTGGGGTCACTGGTTTTGAAGTACAGCCTGTCAGGTATGAATTTATTAGAAGGCATTATGCAGTTTGTTTAGTTGGTTAAATTTTTATTTGTTCTGATTTTGTCACTTTTAAAATTATTTGTTCTATGTAAACATTTCCAATTAATGATTAAGGAGTTCTCATGATCAGATCTTTGTGCAAACAGTAAGCATGCTCAGCTGTAAAAAGCAAGATCACTGGTTCCAGTCTGTGGCTAAGAAGAAAGTCTCAGAGATTTCCACCTGAAAAGTCCCACAGGAGCACCTGTGGGGTACGTGCAGTCACCAAGAGTTAAAAAGGACACAGCATCAACTGGTGTTCCGTTGTAGATGATTCTACCAATGGGGCATTACTTAATCCTTTTGATATTAGTCCATACTCAATTTATCAAAATTATTTTGCTGTTTAACAATTTACTGAGAGAACTCTGGTTAGTGGTAAGGAGTTCAGCTGCCAATCCAGTCATTTGTGGTTTGAATTCATAAGCTGCTTCCTGGGACAGAGATGAGCATTCTCCTTCCATGCAATTAACTACCTCTGAAAACCCACTGGAGGGACAGCTGTTTATTGGTTTCTACTCACAGGTACACAACACTGCCATTAAGTTTCAGTATAAAACTCTTCAAGTTTTATACTGGAAAAATAAAATCTCTTCATCTCTAAATAACTCACAGACAATGGATTCAGACATTACAAGGAAACAGAAACTGTATTCTATAAATAACTTTTAGGTTTATTCCTTTATAAGTCAGTTCATTTTGTACTTTATTGTAGACATGGTGAGTTCTTTGGTTACAAAAGAAACAAGGCTCTTTGAAAATGCCTATCTCCAGTATCATTTGTTAGAAGTGAGACATTGCTGTCATCCTCAAGCAAGTCACAATAACTTGTTATAAGAACACTTTGCATTTGTATAGCTCTTACATGTCACATCCTCATAACAAATAAGACAGGCCTCTATTCCCAGGTAATAAAATGGTGTAAACTCACTTTAGTAATAGAAGTTTTACAAGAATCGCATAGTGATTGTGATATTAACAGCTAACATTTATCATGCACTTACTGTGAATTCACAAAGTTTTCTACTTACATTATCTCCTTTACTCTTATAGCAGCTCTATGAGGTATGTTTTGTTATTATTCCCTTTTCATGGATAAGAAAACTGAGGCTTAAGGAAGTTAAATAAACTACCCAAGATCTTAAAACAGTAAATGAGGAAAACGGGCAAACCAGTCACTTAATGAAATGTTAAATTTACATGTAATCTACATGAAATTTTTCTGTAAAATAACTTGTAGTTTACGTATTTACTCGTTCCTTTATCTTTGAGCACTTCTATCATGTAAATCCACTTAACAGTGATTTCCTGTCCTTGTTTTTACATATGTACTATGTTGAAAGGAAGAGACACAGTAAGACTGACCCAGAATCCATCCATTTCAATGCTCTGTCTCACGTTTCTCTCCAGACATGGAGGGCTATAGAGAACCTTTAAAAGGCAGATTAATCTTCACCCTTATTGCCTGGTTGCCTGGGGCTGTGTTCAAGTTTATAAAGAGAGTTTCTTAAAAAACTTGTATCTTTATTGGCATAAGTGGAGCCATTTTGATAATGTAAACAAATTTTTAGACTTTTCTTTTGGGTTTAAAAGTTAAAAACAAGTATATTTGCATTACGTGCATAGCAATAGTTATAGGGCAAAAACCTTTATGTGAACTTTAGTACACATATGTAAAAATCTTACTAGCTGTAAGAGAAATAATCATAGCCTTTCTTACAGATAATCATTGAAATTTTAATAACATTAAACCACCCACTGCTGTAACTTTCCAGTTAGCAGCCTACATTAGGAGGACCTTATCACTGTCCCTGAGGCCTAGTGGTAAAAAGCTGTGCTGCAATCCCAAAGGCATGCCTGCAGTGTAAATCCACCAGCTACTCTGTGGCCAGCTCCTTCTGTGCAGTTTACTGCTTCTGAAAACCTGATGGAGGGTCAGCTGTGAGTTGGACCTGACTCAGCAGCACACAACAACATTCACATCACTGTTTTGTCTGGGACCATAGGCTCAGCTTCATTCAGTCTTTAAGAAAGCAGGCTCCTACCATCAACACCTGGTTTCAAGGTGGTCAGTATGTCCTGTAACCCATCAGTCAACAAAGAATTGTTTCCTTTTCCATATTTTTTAACTCTAATTGTCTGAATTCCCCATCATATGGCAATGGGAAAGACTGCTGTTGGGGACCTCTCCAAAGTGCTGAAGAGCAGTGGTGTCTCTCTGGAGACTAAGGTGTGCCTGATACAGGCCATGGTCTTTGCAATCACTTGTTATGTGTCAGAGAGTTAGTTGGACAATGACTAGGGAGGATAGAAGGAGAATTGATGCCTTTGAGCTGTGGTGCTAGAGAAGAGTATTGAGTGTACCATGGACTGCTAAGAAAACAAACAGGTTCATCGTAGAGAAGGTTAAACTGGGCTGCTCCTTGGAGGCAAGGATTCTGAGGCTTTGTCTGACATACTTTGTACATGTTGCAAGAGGGACTAGTCCTTTGAGAGGGATATCATGCTTGGGAGGATGGAGGGACAGCATAGGAGGGGAAGACCCTCTATGAGGTGGATTGATTCAGTGACTAAGGTAATCGGGGTGGGGGTATCAGAGACAGTGTGATTGGCACAGGGCAGAGCGGAGGTTAGGACGGCACATAAACAACAGCAACAATTGTCTGAAATGCTACATTGCATTTTAAGTGTTTTTAGCCCCTTTGTTTTTGCTCAAAACCCTAAAAGTTTTTCTTGTTTTTTATATTTGTTAGTAT